CTGCCCCCCCCCCCCACCACCACTGAATACAAATGAAGGTGACAGTGAAAATTGTGATGATAATGGTGGTGGGTGGTGATAATGCTGGTGATGACAGATGGAGATATTGACGATGGCAATAATAATAATAATAATAATAATAAAACTGCATTTATATAGCACCTAATAGATCACAAACCTTTGCATAGTCTTACATATATCATGTCACAGTTTTATTGAAATACTTTGACTTTTGACATACACTATTGCAATCCAGGGTTCGTACGTTTTTAAACAAGCAAATTTCCAGGACAATTCCAGGACATTCCAGGTCAAATTTTCCGAATTTCAAGGACTCATAATATCTCTTATTACTATAAAAGTAGAACAATTTGCCAATTTTACGATTGATTATACAACATGCATGCTGTACTAATTTTAATTGCAAGATGTTCTTATGCATATTTTGCATATTAAGTTTTACTTAAATCTAATTCAGAGGCGATAGATCGGTGTCTTTTTCTCACGCTCGTGGGAAATTCTGGTTGTCTCGCACGTGTGCTAATAAGCAAAAAAATTCATCCCACGAGTGTGGCAAGTAATTAGACAGAGCCCACAGTTGAACTACAGGAGATCTGATTCTCTGCTAGGCAACAAAAATGTAGGCAACAAAAATGTGCGCGTACAACATTGTCTTATCGCTAAACCTGTCGGTGGCTTTGTGTGGTACCGGCGTGTCAGTAATAACTTGATTCCATTGTGACGCCTCGGTGGAGTGTACGCCTGTTCAGGGCTATTCAACAACATGAAAAGCTGTAGCGATGTTGACATTGCTAAGTAATAGCCCCCAGTGTCCTGATCTTCGTTTTGGGTACACGTTGCGGAGATCTTAATTGTTATTTCATACATATTGGTCATTAAAATGTTGAAACTTGTTAAATTATTGCCAAGTCGTTTTTTTTCATCTCTGTATTCATGGTTATTATTTATAATTAATATTATAAACCTATGTAAACTTTTAAATTCTATTATACAGCAAATGTTAACGTACGATGTGTTTGTGATGATTGCATTTGTTTATACGTAGAGCAAATAAATACTGTACATTGTAAAATTGAATTATCAACATTTGCAAGCACTAAATTTAACACAGAACAGCAACACAAACATGACAGCATATTCCTTTTAAAAATCCACTTTATTTGAAACAATGCCATCATAGGTATGGTAGTTTCTGGATTTACATATTTTTTATTTCTTCTAATTTTGAAGCAATGTTCGCCTCAATTTCTGCCAGTAATGACCTTTTCTCAGCGGCAGTTCGACGCGCAGGCTGTTAGCTTTTGGCGATACGGTCAGACCATAGAGAAAATAGAACATTTCTCTATGGTCAGACTACATTTACTCTCGGCCTGATCAGCAAACCTTATGGATTACTTTTTCCATCGTTTATTAATTCGAATTTTATGTTTAATCCGACCTCTACGACTGGCTCTTTTTAGGTAAGATTTGTAATATAATTATTGTTTAACTTTTAGTTTAATTAAAAGTATTTTGTATGTTATTATTAGACAAAACGGATTAGTATAGATGTATAATACTATACTGTGTTTTAGTTATACATTTAGTAGCCCTTTGTTTAGGCTAAAGACCAAACGAAGGAATGTTGAAGGACGTTTTAGGCAAAGCACAGTTATTTTGTGCATAGGCTACTATAAGCATTGGGACAGTGACCCAGGCTATACTGTACGAATACCAGTGAATAGTTGTATTGAGATTTAACTTTACATTTAATTCCATTGCTTTTAATTGTTATATCCATGATGAATCGTCCTGTTTTGATATTTTAATATTGTTACTATCGTTTTAATAATTGTAAGCCTATAATTATCACTTCGAAATATATCTTTACCATAAGATAAGCTAAATAAATACTTCGATTAATAAAGAAGTGATATTGTTATTATGAAGTCTTATATCACGCTATGCTGATAACCAATGTTAAATCGTTTAGTTTAATCATAATTCTTTTTTTTTCTATATGGTTTAGTTAATTTATCGCTAAATTTTAAAGCCGTATTCGTTATCTGTAATTATTAGTATTAGTATTTTAGCTGTTATTACCGTATTACTATTATTATTATTATTATTATTATTATTATTAATTATTTATTATTATTATTATTATTATTATTATTATTATTATTATTATTAGCATTATTATTATTAGCTATTTTCTATTATACCACTAGACATGTTATTTTATAAAACTAAATTTATTTACTCTGGTATGATTGATATTCCTCAATCAAGTAATACATAATCCAGGGTGATACCTATGTTTGCAATTAGAGCATATGTTAGCGCTTTTATGGTGTCGCATTCGCCGGGCCGGCTGAATGGGTTTATGACGTCACGGTATCTTGTAATACAGTAGTACCGTACGCTGTGATAGGACTTATTTAACTTCAAAATGTTTATAGATATAAGAAAGCAAACATTTAATTTTATGAATATTCCAAGGAATATTTAGGCTAAGTAAAGTATATTGAAGTGACGGAACATTAGCGTGTTTCAATATGTTTAAGTAAGATACTCACTTAATTACTATAACTATAGCATTTTTATTAATTTGTGTTATGATTTTGAAACGATTTTAGATATGAATAGATTCATATTATGTTCACCCGTTAATTTTGAGTGTATCATGAATTGGAATACAATATTGTTAATGTATTATTTTATGCTACGTGTTTCTAGAATGACGATTGAATAAACTTCCGGAGTAAATATAAATTTATTTGGAGACCATTCATTCATTTGATTGAACAAGGGCTACACATGCCCAAATTTAGCATGTATTTCACAATACCGAAAATTATTAGTGCCCTTACATGTACCCGCCGCGCGTCTCCTTTGTGTAACGTTAAAGAGCGAGAGACACGCGTGTGTAAAGTAATACTATAGACATGCCGCCCTACTTTTGAGAAATAGCTACAGTATGCGGGCAACGGTCTGTACTTTAATTGTGTATGAGTATTGAAAAGACAAAAACAAACGAACATTTATTAGTATATTTTAATCATGACCTGGAATTTACGTATATCATGCGAAATAAGATAAATGTGTAAATAATCAAATTTCCAGGACATTGAAGAATTATTCAAGGACAATCATACATTTCCAGGACTTTCCAGTACTGGAAAATGCTCATTCGTTTTTCCAGGACATTCCAGGAATTTAAGGACGCGTACGAACCCTGGCAATCACAAGATGGCTTATTGTTTGTCATCAAAATTATAAACTAATTATCAATTTAAACTTGAAAAAACCTACGTGTTGTATTTGCTTTTGTTGATTAAGTATCAAGTGGTTCACCACAGAAATGTTCTTGTCAATTCGAGCAGCTATCATTGCTTGTATTTCATTAATTCCAACACATCCTCCTCCTCCAACTCCTCCTGCCACACCTATTCCCACACTTCCTACTTCTCCTTCATGGAAATTAGATTTCGGTTGACATGTCTTGTCAGTAGCTTCTTCACCTTCTAAAGTTGAGGCTAGTATCAGTTTGAAATACAAAAAACAACTGTCACACACTTGCCCTGGGTGCATTTTTATGATCTTTAAACACAATTCATAGCATATTCTCAGCCTATTCATTATGCACTACTACTAGATAATCCAAGGTTAAATTTATATCCTTTATCCGAATTTTTTTTTTCCTATATAGCATTACTAAATGCTTTATTAATACACTTTTTTCGTATTAAGAAATCTTGGAAATCATGTAAGGTCTTGTGCCTTCGATGTCGAATATATGAAACATGTAGGCTGCCGGCACCTTGACCTCTAACGATTAGTGCCTACAAATTTTCACAAAAACGTAATGCAATAATGACAAAATGATTATTATTGTTTATTTTTGGTAAATACTTCAGCCGCTCCAAATTTCTTTCCTATTCTCCTTTCTTTTAAAGCTTCTTCCATTTTTCCGTTAAATTTTAATAAATTTTACTAAATACATATTTATGCATGTCATGTTTTTAGAGTTGCCACAAATCTCTAATTTATTGATTTTCGTAGTACAGTATTAGCATATTTGGGAAAGCGCCTCTGGCGTCAATTTATGTCGGGAAACTTTTTGATACGAATCCCAGAAAAAGTATACGGCATGCACGTAAGTATTATGGAACGCCATTTGTGCCAAAATCGATTTATTTTTAAGCATTTTCACTGATTAAGACAAAGTTTATGGACTGGAACCCAGTGTAGTAATATTTATATAAATATATATATATATATATATATATATCATTTCGATACATTTAAATTATATTTTAACTGGACTCTAGAACCAGGCCTGCGTATACTGTGTGTCTGTATTTAACATATGTGGCAAAGGCAAGCCAAAGCAGGCACTTGTCGCAAATCGCATTTCAGAGAAAACATCCTGGAATGTAAAATTTTCAAAAATCCATTTTATTGCACTAAACTAACCTTTATATATCTGTACATCATGCTATGGTATTATTTTCCTCATTTTCAATGTTAAAACAACACTTTTTAAGAATTTGACGATAGTTTCTGCATGAAAAATGCCCGAAATCATAAACTTTGAAGGCTGATTTCTCATAAATTGTTCTTAATAAAACACTTGTAACTTTATAAGGTAATGTCGGATTTGAATGATTTTTTTAAAAACATTTTATAGCTCTTATTTTATTTTACTCTTTAAACCTATATTCAGGGGCGGATCCAGAAATGTCCAAAAGGGGGGGCCGGAAGGGGGGGCCGAAAGTTGGGCGATTGAGACAACAGTGTCGTAGGGGGTCCGGGGCATGCTCCCGCGATTTTTTTGTGTTCTAGACGCCCGAACATAACATTTGAGGCGTTCTGGGCTATCATTTGTTTCTTTTTCTCCCTTTTTTTCATTTTTTCTTCTTTTTCCGCCCCTGATATTAATAACTCAAAATCAATTTTTTGCAACGAGTGACTAGTTTGGCTTGTCTTTGCCACATATTTTAATCTTTGTCAGTCTAAAGTCGAAGGTATGGCCTGGTCCCCAACTTTTTATGTTCACTTGGATAGGCTTGGATACCTTGTTTGAAGCAAGAAAACAAGTTGTCTTTATCCAGTACCGCTCATCTATCCTATTCGAGTAGGAAACTTTTGAAAACTTTGTGTGATGTGCCCATATAAGGTAATGATGATGTTATATTACACCCAAATATCGTCATATCAGTTTTTGTCACATGGAATTTGATAGAGTGATTGTAGTTTAATGTTGAATAATACTGCCCCACCATGACAAAAGGAAGTAACTGACAATTTTTCAAAAACGAGTTTTTTTAGTCACTATCAAAGAACTAATAATTTGAAACATATTGATATATTTGAGTATGTTCAAATCCCACTCATTAACAAGTAATTAGCAACACAAAAAGAAGTAAGAGAATAAAAATACAGTAAAAACCAAAGCAGGTGACAAAATCAACATGCTCCATATTCCTTAATTACTCAAAGCAATGCAAACATCATTGCTTCCTTTTGTCATGGTGGGGCAGAATATATGATATATATTTAACATTAGAATACAATACATAAAATTCTATACACAGTGAACACTGGGTTACAATTTGAAAAATAACCTTAATATTCTAACCTAATAAAGCAAGCAGTACAAAAAGGCAGCAACATAGAGGAGCCAATCTTCCTATTTCCATTCCTTTCTCCTTTTCTTCTTGATATGATGACGATGACGACACAAATTTTTCTCTGGTTATAAAGAAACGAATATATTGTCAAATCAGACATAGTAGAAAAGTATATAAATTAAGTTATTATGTGACATCACCCTGTGCAAAGATCTATAGATGGTTGCTTGGTGGGCGTGAGTTTGAATATCCATCATGCTATGTTACAGGTAGATCAGTGAGCAAGCGTTCCCCTAAAGGTAGTAAAGGTCGAAACATGAAGCTCTGGGCTCACAGGCCTGAGTACCTGTCTCACTTTCCTAGGCATTTTGGCCAGATTGTGCAAGGCTGTCCCGCACTACAGTCTTTACCTTCCCAGCATATGCCAGTATCCATTTATACACCTGGGTGGAGAGAGACGAATGTAAATAAAGTGCCTTGCACAGTGAGAGTTTCGAACCCCTGACCTAAGGGTTGAGAGTCAGAGCCACAACAGCTGCGCCAATCGCTTCTACAAATGTTGGAGTATACCCATGCAATTATGGTATATGTACATTAGCGAACGGGATTGTACGTTGTACGTGTTGGTAGGCTTATAAATTAGTGAGTGGGGCTTTTAGTTGGTATACCTTGTCTATGCACCAAATAAAAAAATTGTGGACGGAATGTACCTTATTACTCAAACCACAGCCCGTTTACGTGAATTAATAGTGTTTGAACTGAACCCTGAGCAGTCTCACACCAACAGTAGCATCACTACATACATACCAAAAGTATAAAAAATAAGATGTGCGATTACAGACCTGTATTATTTTCAAATCTAGTGAATGATAAGTACGACATAGTGGCCTTATGTGAAACGTAGTTATACACATGTAAATGATGCCGAGCTTGCATTTCCTAATTATGTTCTATATCTAAAGATAATGCCAAAGCTAATATCTTTAATTCATATTTTCCATTCATATTTAATTGGAATGTATAATATTTAATTGGTGAATGGTATGAACATCAACAGGGTGGATGTGCATAAAGATTTGGTGTCTTGATTGACTCTAATTTAATTTTAATCACCATTGTTGATACTACTGTCTGTACAGGAAACAAAATGCTGGGTATTTTTTGGCGTAACTGCAAAACCTTGGACCATAAAACTAAACTCCATCTTTATGTTTCATTGGTTAGACCTATTTTCGACTATTGCAGCTTAATTTACAATTCTATTTCAGTATTACAGTCTAATCGTATTGATAGGGTTCAATCTAAGCTTATGTATTTCATTAATCATAGTTATCATAATAATAATTTGGTTCCGTACTCTCTTCCTGCACTTAGTTAGAGGAGAAATTATTTTGATATGGGTTTTCTTTTTAAGTGCATGAATTCTGTTTTTGATACTGATTTAGGCCTTTGTTCTTTATTTTCTCTTTAAGTTAATAGACTAAATTCTCGCTCTAAAGATTTGTTTATGGTTAAGTTAACAGAGTTAATTGTACAAAAATGGTTTCATTCATCGTTTAGCTTCTACTTATAATACATTGTTACATGAAGATCCTACTATTAATATATTCCATCAAAATTAAGTTCTTTTAAAACCAGTTTATTACATGTGCATGCATTTAAATGATTTATCTGATTAGGTTTGGGCTGGGGATGAGTGTGTGGGGGTTTGTATGTGTGTGTGTGTATTGTGACATGTGACCCTGTTTCTTTTCTGTGTGTTTTTCTATTTATATCTTTGTTATAGTTGTATGCTTGTAAATATTTTAAGACATCCTGATATTGGCAAGTGATTGCTGTTGGATGTGGTTTTTGAAATAAAATAAATAAATAAAATGTATACTTATGAATTATTGACAAACAAAAATGATAAATAAGGTCAAAGTTGTGAGTGAAGTAAAATATTACCACACACAGTCGGTTCTATGGATCACAACACATAAAAAAATCCTTACAACAATCTCCGTACCCTAGGCAGGCCAAATCACAATGACACTCTCGGAAAACACGGTTTTCGTAAGCTTCAGGACTTTCCATACAGTGGCCTTCGCAAGTGCTATTCCCCATACAGAGCCAACGGAGAATAAAACAAGAGCGACCGCTCACCTGGTCTGCGATTTCCTCCACGCTTAAATACGGTAGAGGCGCAAGTTATCATACTGGGTTTTTTGGAAGAGCTAATAAGATAGGAATTTTTAAATAATTAGAATATTTATTTGTAAAAAAAAACCATTATTTAGAATGATCATTTGTACAAAATTTAAATACTTAAAATAAAAAAATTCTTAAAATTGGAAAAAAATAATTGAATACCGAGACGCATTTCATACTCATGACCTTCAGTTGTTTAGAACACATCCTTAAAGACCGCGCCATTCATGCAACATGCCCTATTAGTGGTAATGGCAATAATGTACAGTAATTTTTAAATAATTAAAATGTTTATTTGTACAAAAAACAAACATTGATCATTTGAGGCATGTTGTGGCAAAATGGAAAAGTTGTCGCACAGTCCAGTATTGAGTAAATGAGCTATAAAATATGGGAGCTAAAAAAAATGCTAAAAAATCCAAATTTGTTTTTCACAATAGATTAACAGTTTAATGTTTTATTAATCATGTCCCAAAGTATTAGTTCTGGAAGTGGTTAAAAAATTGTTCATTTAACGTTATTTTTCATAGTTCATTCTAATAAACAATGTATGCACAAATAACTTTGTGCATACTCAAAATCCTGTTTATCTTGACTCTAAGAGTACTGTACTTTCACTTTCCAATAACTTAGACTTGAAATGTCGAATTTGAATGAATGACCCCTCATTTTAAAGATGACATACTCAGGTATTTGAAAATACCAATAACTTGAATTTCAATTTTTGCTACAACTTAGCCATTTTGCCACAACATGCCTCATTTGTACAAAATTTTGAAAAATACTTAAAATTGAAAAAAATAAAGTTTCAATAAAATTATATAATTCCTTAAAAATATATACATATACATATATACAATATTGAAGGGAGTTTATATACATATATATATATATATAAATAATCTATAAATAAATATATAAAGAATCTCTATTGAGATCCAGCGGGCCGCCACTGATGCACGGTAGAGATTGCATCTTTAGATCTCCGATCTTGTTCACAAATTCACGGACTAGTGCTGTCTCGTAAGAATTTCGTAGGACGCACAAAGAATAACAAAATATTCTCTGTATCTACTGGAACTGAGCCACATAGCTTGTATTCCACTATTTGCATTCACACCTGGGCTGTGTATATATATTGCCTTGGTTTGGTTCTGTAATCATTAGTGGTCGTGGGACTAGTTTGGGCCCTACCTAAGCTGGTCGAACGTTTCGTTTGGGTCTATACCCTAGCTGCAATGATGAGGCCTGGAAGGCCAAAACGGATCCGTCTGCAGATATTGGGATTCCTTCCAGTGGATGCTTAGTTTATTTTGTCATTCTGATCGGATTTTCTCTACTGTTCCGTTTTTAATTTTAAATAGTTTTGCATTATGTGGCCGTATGCTGTTTTATGGGTTTTTCCCATTTGCCTTTTAAAATTTATA